CCCTTATTAATTGTTTGATCACTGGGTCAGAAGTCATGCACAATAACCTTATCACATGACTAATTGGCTGCAGATAGGGGGCATACATGTTTTACAAACATATCTTGTTCTAAATAGGTATTTCAGCCAACTTCTATCTATCAATCCTTACTGGGTAAAACATGTTTAGCTACTGGAAATATATTATCTTACAAGGTTATCTAGAAACATGTTTTTGTTTTTGTTGTTTTCTTGCATTGGTTATGTTTGATTGGTTGTCACATACATTTATTCCCAAATGGTATGAATACATTATGAAATGGACTTCAATGAGAAATGTCTAGGTGTAAGTCTTGAAAAGATAGTGTTGATGTTTGTATGCTTAGATGTTTATACTTACATTATATTATATTTAGTTGAATATATTTGTAAATCATTTGAGCCGCGTCACGACAAAACCAAAATAGTGCGTTTGCGACCAGCATGGACCCAGACCAGGATCCATGCTGTTCGGTTACCAACCCTATTACAAGTAGAGAAACTGATAGCAAACAGCATGGATCCTGATCAGACTGCGCGGATCCATGCTGGTCGCAAACGCACTATGTTGGTTTTGTCGTGATGCGGCTCATTTGTTGAATTAGGAATTGTTAAATAATCAAGGGTTGATAGCAAAACTGCCGTTACTTATATGAAATAAAGAAGGGTTTACAACAGTTTTGCGGTGAACCCTCAAAATATATGTTGAGAGGGATATAGGTCAAATTTTCAGGTTGAAATAAATTGATTAAGCAATTGTAGTTTTTAACATTTTAGTGGCATTATACATTAACAAAGAATATTAAACAAGGGTTTGTTAAGTTTAATTCTACATTTGTATGGTGTACAATGAAAATATCCCCATACAATATGGTGACGTATTTGTTTTTTATTCAAAGTAGTGTTTTCTGAAGTGATATGATATTATACACAATTGTTGTTTTTTTTCTATAATAAATCTATTAAATTAGAAGTTTGTGTTTTTAAAGTGTTCCCTTTTTTGTTATATAAAATTTCTATCCGGGGTTTAAAAAATTTTAACCCTCCCCTCCCCCTCCATCTTTGCTTAGGGTATGTAAATGTGGGTAAGGGGGTTGTAGTTTATGTTATGAAAATTATGTTTTGTATTTTATGTTTTTAAATGTAGCTTGGGGTTTCTTTCCCCGTATTGTACCAAGGTTTTTGGAAAATGAATTCCGAAATAAAATGTCCCATTCTCGAAAAACCCGCAAACATGGCTCCGCATTTTTTTAATCCAGAAAACCTTTCATTTTCTGGGGTTTAACAGCCCATTCCCCTTTCCATGGGAAACAGGGTTCTTATTTTTCCCCCTTTTAAATTTTATAATAACATTTGAGGGAAATCCCCTTCATTTATAAGACCGAATTACGTTTTTTAAGCGTTAATTTGCCTTTACCTAATTTGAATTAAACATTTCAGAAACATATTTATAGATCTTGCTACCTTTTTTTTATATTAACATACAGTGCCGCAAATGGAGATAAAGGTCTCTCAGCTAAGATACAACAAATAATAGCCTGTCAAGGGAACTCAGCAGGGTTGCCAGCAGACTTGAAAAGTCAGGGAAATCTGATATTTTTTCAAAGTCAGGGAATTGTCAGGGAATTTTGAAAATTGGTCAGTAAAGAATAAAAATCCTAAAAAGTCAGGGAAAAATAATTTTGAAGAATTTTCCTTATATGTATGAAGTAAAAACTGAAAAAAAAACCATGTTCACCTCTTTTAAGAGCTAGAGCTTAGATATTAAGCATGTAACATCTTCAGTGAGTGTCTACCAATTTTGTACAAATAAAAGCCATTGGGTCAAAATTTGCCCAGTCAAGGAAGTCATTGATTTTCCTTATATGTTTATATAAACTTAAAGATTCTTGTAACAAACCCAAAAGAGCTAGATTTTGATATTAAGCATGAAACATTTTCTAGCGTGTGTCTACCAAGTTTGTTCAAATAAAAGTCCTTGGGTCAAAATAAGCCCCACCCCAGGGGGTTACTGATTTTCCTTTTATGTACATAGTAAAAAACAAAAAAAATATCTTCTTTGAAAAACCTAAAGAGGTAAGGCTGTGATATTTGGCATGAAACATCTTTTAGTAAGTGTCTACCAAGTTTGTTAAAATAAAAGCCCTGGGGTCAAAACTGGTCCAGTCATGGGGTTCATTGATTTTCCTTATATGTATATATAGTAAAAACTAAAAAGTCTTCTTTTAAAAAACAAAAGAGCTAGAGCTTAGATATTTGGCATGAAACATTTTTTTCAAATGGGTGTTTACCAACTTTATTCAAATAAAAGCCCTGGGGTCAAAATTATTCTTGTTCATGGAGAGTTTTTATATTCAGATGAGTAATTTCAGGGCCACCATGACCCTCTTGTTATTAATTATATTGGCTATGGCAGTATTCTATAGTTTTGCTTCAGACTTGATATTATCAAAAACATTTTACTGAACACAAAACTACCAAACTGAGATGTATAAAGCATGTTTTATTGACCATATTGTTAAAAGCATTAAAAAAAAACAATAAAAAAACTTATGGGTGCTTGGCTTTTTTTCACAGGTTGGGGAAGCAGCCCTGCCCTTAATTTTGGGGATAAATTAATGGTATATTTGCAAAAGGGGAAGAAAAAACTTGATGTAAATTCTATTTTGTGGGAAAACTGCATGATTTTAAAGAATTTCTTTTTGGGGAAACAGTCCTATAATGGCCCCTGCTAATAGAAGGAAAAAAGCCCTGGGGTGAATTGGACGGCTGTAGGGGAGGTGGAGACCGTTAAGTTTGGTAGTTTTGGTCAGTGAAAAACCTACTTTGGTCAGGGAAAAGTCAGGGAATTTTATTTATCTATGATGCTGCCAACCCTGCTCAGGAACACACTAACTACCTACCTAACTAACTAACTAACTAACTAATTAACTAACTAACTAACTAACTAACTAATAATCATACTTTAAATTTTTTTACATGCTGTAAAATAAATCATTTATTATGGTGGAAAATTTAGAAATTATTGAAGAGTATATGTATTTCGTAAGAATGACGTCTATTAGAAAGTATCATGAATAAAGTAATATTCTAAATGAACAAAAAAGTTTAACTCTTTCCTAGTAACTGTAGCACACAAAATGCTTTAAAAAAATTGGGTTTCCCCCTTTGAAAAAGGTCTTTTCAGCGATTATTTCTTTTGCTGAAAAAATGGCTGTCGATTTGTTAAACCTTATTTTTCATTTAAAAATGGCGAACGCTGATGACGTTTACTTTAAAATTTTGATTGGACACTCAAACTTAAATACCCTATAAACTTTAACAGAAAAGCATTTTGAAGGTTATGGTTTGGAATATTTATGACGGGAAATTGTTGTCGGTTTACGAATCGTATGATAAAAAGGATTTATTATCATACGAAAAAAATACAAGTTTTTTGACTTAAAAAATAAAATTAGCCGCATCTCATCGGATAGTGGGTTATTTTCAGCTAAAAAAAAATCACGTGTACTCAGAAGGTAAAGCTTGCACAGGGCCAGAAATTTTGTTAAGCATGCTCCTTTTGGATGGTTTGACTATGAATCCATAACATTTGATTTATTCGAACACAATTGGGATTAAAGTTAAAAATTAAGATGAATACTTACCGTCCATCAATTATGTTTCCTGCGCCGACATGTATATACCGGTACAGCTGTCGACGCTTGAACTGCTGTCTGCCCATTTGATTGTACGGTGTGATTAGGTTATATATTAAAATGTCTTTTTAACCGTTTCTTTGCATATTATAAAAAGAAAATTTATTAAGTTTAGTGTAAGATCGAAATATGTTCCACCTCGTGAACACTAAAAGTTAATATTTTGAACACTCGTGGCTGCTCCATTCGTGAAAATACCTTTTGGTGCTCACTCGGTGAAATATATTTCTATCTTACACTCAACTAAACAAATATCAACTATATAATGTTTATAAATATGTCCAATAATCAAAAAGGAGAAAGAAAGAGAAACGTTATTTCTGCAACAATGAAATATTCATAGGGGGCGAGTAATCTATATTAGACTAAAGAAAACGTTATGTTCTAGTGCTCTCCCCTGAAAAAAATCGAAGCTGTATGGCTGCAGGGTTGTGAAAAATACAGCAACGGTTCGGTATAATAGAAAAAAAAAAATAATGAAAAATAACACATATCTCTCAGGGGTAATAGTGCATACAGAGCATAGTTGACCCTTCCTCCGAAGCTGTTTTACTTTTATTTACGTAAACCCTCACTTGTTGTCAACTTTCATCATTTGGAGACAGCAGATGATGATGATGATGATGAAGACTATCCAAGACACTTTTTATTTATTCAGTTTGACTAGTACAGCCTCACAGGTAATATGACCATATATAGACGGTTGTTTGCAATATAACCCGAGCCGTTAGGCGACTATTACATTTCCAAACAGCCGTTTATACAGGGTCATAAATTATATAACCTGTCAAAATTTTTTATAAGTAATAGTATAATAATTTATACCTGCAGTTAACAAACTTATTATTTGAAATTTTCGGAAAGAATAACTCCAAATGCCTTAAAGAAATATGTTTGCATATTTTCATTTAAGGGAATGGTGCACGTAAACATAATTTGACTTAGAATTGTATAGAATAATTAATATTTTATTCTGAAACAGTTTTTCTCTCTGTTTACATACACTGTTTATGTGTATGCAACAACAAAGAAATTCTATAAGAATCTATCAGAGGCTTGTACAGAAGCACACAACAACAACAACAACAAAACAACAACAGGATTTAATGTGTAACATAAAAAATGATCCTTGAAAGTTCTCTCGAAATTTTCCTCTTAATATCTTTACATTAAAAATAAAATAATCAGCTACAATGTTCATGTTTTACCAACAAAGAGATATGGGTATAGATACAGTTATATTGGGTAAAAAAAAAGTTTTCATGATTTAAAATTATCATTTTCCTAGCCCACCACTGTTTCATTAACTTGATTATCATTTTTGAGGTCATCTAAACTCCCCAAGTCTTTGTCGGTACCGTTATTCCACAATTTCCACATTTTGAACCTCTCTCTTTTCATCACATGTGCAAGTTCGAAGTTAGTGTTATGGACGATCACGGTCTCTTGCCGTTGGGCGTCCGTCAGTCGTCTAAATGTTGGACCAGCTGCAAATTTGTCGTCGTCAAGAGGACAGGGCCTAATGTCTGTATATTTCAACAAGGCGTTGAAAACCGGCCGGTCATCTTGTATTTTATATTTCAACACATGCCTCCATCTCTGCATGAAGTTACACGTCTTTACATTACTAGAAATTGCTAGAAAACCAGTGGAATATATGTTTTCATCCTCCATTTGAACCCACATGTCGCAAGCCCCTGTGAAATATGAAAACGGATTCTTCAACCAAACAGTGTCAATGTCCGAATATAAGATATTGGTACCGTTTTTAAGATACCGGATTATATGAGATATCCTAGAAAAAGCTATTTTTCTCCGAACATTGCTGTCAAAGTATGTTTCCTCTTCAATGTCAAGCTCACTTCTCTCAACATAAGTATATGCCGCATAATTAGCCATAATTTTCCTAAATACATCTCCGTCTTCAGCTATAACTAAAACCTTCACTGGTAAGTTAAGTCGTACAAAGAACAACCACCAGTTTTGGAAAAAATCGAAATATTCGTCATTAATGGTAAGTAGTATAGTCCATTTGTCAAACTCATTTTCTGAGATACTGTTGGCAACATTTAGACTCTCTTGTGTCTCGTTTAACTCGTTAGTCGCTTTAGATATATTCATCAACCGCGGTGGAACAAAGTGTATAGTCCATATGTTATAGGCGCTTCGCCGCCTCTCGTTCGCCTGTGATTTGATATGGTCCCTTACCAAGGCGACGTCTATACAACATAGTAGTAGTCTAACAATTAACAGCAGAAATACCAGTTTATGAATATCCATACGTAAAAACTCATTCTGTTTTCTGAAACGTTGCATCTTCAATTTACTCTTATTGTTATTATGATTGTTTAACACAGAATGTTTTAAATCAATTTATACGTAACATCTTGTTTAATTTAAGATCCAATTGTCAATAAACATATATCTAGTAAGAAAAACAACATGTGTTAATTTTTTCATAATGTAAAGGTTTCTTTTTTTGTTTGACATTAAACGGATTTTGAAGGGCATAAAATACAAAAAGCTTTGACTGCCTACCTGTTTATGTTTCCACTAAAAATAAATAATACTATTGTCTAACATTATAAAGATACTTAACAAGGGAGACAACAATGCTATTATTATTGTAACTATCTCCCTGTAACTGCGATTATGATGAGTTTTGCATTCATTTTATCATCGCATCTAGAGTGGATATAACAAGTCGTTGATGATTAAAGGAAGATTTTAACCTAGGTCAATATGGTGAGGCGTTTAGAAACAATATGATTGATGGTATGATACCGATAGGCCTCTCTGAGAAGACTTTGGCATCCTTAAGACTTTTAAAGTTTGCAAAAGAAGGATATATACCCAATTAAGTAATGAAAAGCAAATACTTTTTACAAATTTGCAATCAAAATGAAGGTGCCTAACAATTCCTAAGGACCCGAATCGGCAGATTTTGCTCATGTAACGAAGGGAAATAACATTTGCCAATGCATAATTTGAACAAATGCGTGGGTACAATTTACAAAAAAAAAATTTAAAAAAAAATGTAATTTCTTTTTTTATGGCCGAGGTTTACTGCATTGCAATCAGTTCTAAAGGAAATACTAAGTACATGTACTTCAATTTCCGCAAAAATGATGTACAGAATTGTTAATAATTCTCTTTCATGACTTCTAATGGAATCATTTGTGATTTGATTCTTTAAAAGCCTGGATAAACGTTTTTTTCATGTGTAATTATGATTTTTTTATAGATACATGTACATGTATTACTATACAATGTGATTTTATATGACGCAATTTACTGTAACTGTGTAACATTTTAGAAATATCACAAAGGAAAAATAGAAGGAACAGAAGAGAGAGAAGAAAACAAGGAAAACAAGAAATCAATGAGTGTACATTGTACTTAAAAAATTGAATGTATGACAAGTTTGTGTAATTTAAATGATAAATCATTCATTTATAAATCAAATCAAAGCTAAATAAAACTTAGACCACACGAACAAAAATGTGTTTACTGATGAACACACAAAAGCGTTGCACACAAATGTATTTTTTGATGATGAGTCTGAGAAGTAAAATAGTACCCCAAAGTAGAGAAAAACAGATCTAATTCCTTAAGAAAACCCTGTTAATGGACGATAGTGGTAGTGGTAATTGCTAGCTATGCCATCGAATTCTTAATACTACAAAGGTTTTTTTTAAAGCTCTAGGTATATCAATATGACATTGATAAAAATCTTGTAATAAGTTTCTGTTTGTAAAAGAAAACTGGGTGTATCAACTTTATTTAACAATTAAAAGAAAGGACATATAACATAATGAAGACAAGGACGATCGGAAAATACTTAAACCTACGACACTTCACCGATAATGAATCACAGTACTTAAATGCATGATTTATCTTTAATGTACATTTACAACATTTGACTGGAGACATTGTCAAAGATGCTAAATGAAATATCATGAATGCATATATCTATATGTAACCAGATTTGATGGGAGACATTGTTAAAGATTGCCACAAGAAACATCAAGAACCCATATCTTTATATGTGCCAGATTTGGCTGGAGATATTGTCAAAGACTGTCACATTCAGTATCGGAGACGCATATCCATATATTTACCAGATTTGACTGGAAACATTGTCAAAGATTGCATCATAAAATATCTTAAACGCCTGTCTCAAAAGCTACCAGATTAGTCTATTTCCACTAATTCAAGGGCAATAATTCTGTCAATACTGATATGACATAATGCTAGTAATTAATTCTATTATTCAAAATGAAAACATGACAATACAAAGATGAATTTATAGTTTATTCAAACCATCTAATTGGCATGTATATTTATAAATGCTTAAAACCTGAAAAAGTAGTTTGCAACACAAACTTACACTGCAGCTATATTTGCGACACATACTTACACTGCCGCTATATATGCGACACAAACTTTCACTGTAGCTATATTTGCATTCCAGCTATATTTGCGACACAAACTTACAAGGCAGCTATATCATGTTATATAGAAACGGAAATACTAGAACGTATATAACAAACATCTTCAAAACATCTTCAAAACTACGGAATGGCGTTAGGGCCATCGCCTATGAATGTGTTGATCTTAAACGCGATAGTCGATAGTACGATGATGAAAACGCGAAATCATAAAAATACGATGGTGAAAACACGAAAGTACGATGATGAAAACGCGATAGTACGATGATGAAAACGCGACAGTACGATACTAAGATGATGAAAGCGCGATAAACTATCGTGTTTTCACCATCGTACTGTCGCCTTTTCAGCATCCTATTTTCGTGATTTCGTGTTTTCATCATCGTACTGTCGAGTATCGCGTTTCAGATCAAACCATTCATAGGCAATGGCCCTAACGGCATTCCGTACAAAACATCTATCAAGGCACAAACTGAAAATGATTACTGAAATCCTGTAGGAGTAGTTGGCAACACATACATCAATTTCCGTTTTTATTCGGAAATAGCGTAACGTTAATTACAAAACAGATTTTGAAAATATGAGTCTTGTATAAAAAACAGATAAAAAATATGAGTCTTAAATAAAAAAAAGATAAAAAAAAGAGTCTTGAACATCTTCATCCCATTTGCATGACAATTCCAAATCTGATTAGGATTCACTACACAGTGGCAAAAATACACATCCACATTATTATACACATTATATATTATAAGTAACATCTGAGCTAATATCAAATTTCGCCTGAAGCAAAGTTTTATCTCATCTGGTAAACATATGAATTGAAAGCTAGTTTTACAAAGTGCAACTTAAACTTGCCTATTTTACACTGTTTATGATTGTCAGAATGTAACTATTGATTCCAGAAACGATATAATTTTTTTAAAAATTTTACTGCAAGGACTCATACATGTTATTACACATATGAGATCAGGGAGATAATTTTTATCATTTAATTCCTGACTGGTATATTTGTGCTACTACTTGTATATTTGTATCTACATATTTTGTAAGTCATCAGCTGTTTTACAAAACTGTGAACTGTAACCGGCATGACTTGGCTCTGTATGTGAGGCAGTAAACATGCCTCTTTGGCCTTCTCCGCCTACAAACATAGGGCCCTCATCTTTGTATTTTTCCCCGCAAAGCCTACAAGGTAAAACTTCAAAACCTTTAAACTCCCGAGGATATTTTTGCCAAAATGACATAGGTCTGATGCCTGAAAATCAAAAGAAACGTGTAAGTTTACCACTTACAAAATCAACTCCAGTATTACAACGTCAAACTTTATATTCTGACATCCATCCTAAGTTATTACATACACTGCAAATATCTAGCTTCAGAAAAAGGTTGCAAAGTTCTATAAAAAGTTCTTACAATTGTTCAAATTCCATTTAACGAAACATATAATCAATCTTATGTTAAAGCTTTAGAACCTTCTTTTGTCACAACAACTGTCATAGGGACAGTCCGCTTGACTATAAATGAATGTGCTTGATTGTATTTGCTTAAGTATGATGATGTCTGTTAAAATAAAAGCACATACATTTACTGAAATTTCTTTTATGGCCTAAAAATCGCTGTCAATTTAGTTTCCATCCAGCTACGGATAAGTATAATTGTGCATGGAAGATTAACAAGTATTTGATAAAGTATAATATTTGGGAACATTACTCACTCAACAGCCAAGACATATGACACTTGTCCTGGAATGATTTCCTTCGACAAATGTCATTAAAAGTTGAGCAAACAAGACTCACCCTCCCATATGCCACATCGCCATCTGACAGCACAACTTCTACAAATATATTTTGAAGGACTTCAAAGGGTAGTTGAGTAATCTGAAAGATGTTTTATAATACAAAGAGCATTCTTAAGAATATCTGTCCATAAACAAATAAGCAACATATGTAACAACATCAAAAAATTGTATGTTGAATTTCAAAACTATTTCAAAAACCCTTTTGATATTTAATAGAAGAGTATTCATAGCCATTGACTTTTTTGGGAAATTAGGGCATACCTTTTGTGCAAATGTATTAGTTATTGGTTTTTAAAAATACACTTAAAAGAACATATAACTTTCTCGGAGGGTTCATCGTTGGTTTTCACGTCCGGGTCATTTCTTCTTTGTTTCTCTTTCTCGTCTTTGACCTTTTTACCTCGGGCCTTGCTTTTGTAAAGCCAAGGGTCAGCCGAAATTATCATTCCGGTTCGGCACCATATAGCTTAAACTGTGCAAGTGTGTCATAAAATCAAGCAATCAAAGCAATGATCTTCAACCTACCTTCAATCTATCATCTACAGATTTTCTTTCCTTGCCACTCTGTCTTTCCTAGCAATTGAATATAGCAAAAATCATATTTTTGAATTGAATCTTGAAAGTAAACAGTATTTAGTCCATTTTCATGGTTTCCGGTACTTTTACTTTTTTCAAGGTTCAGGAAAGACATTTTTTGTATAGATAAGGCGTACTTCTTGGTGGAGAAATAAGCAAACTTTACACGTGTCCAGTATTTATGCATAGTACATGTAATTAAACAATGTGAGAAACGCTCGAGTCGTTCAATTATTCCCATAAAACCAAAAAATCATCCTCAAGCCAAGGATAAATCACAGATCGGGGTTTTCTTCTTCTTTACTTACATGCATGGATTGACAATATCCGAAAAGACCTTCCTATTCTTTTAGCATGTACTAAGTCATTGTCTTTCCTAGGATGGGTACCAGAGTTCAATCCGTATCATGTTAGAAATATAATTCTAACACGCTTCACATCCCCCTATCAAACAAATAGAGCAGCCGAGTGCATTATTATGCGATATATGCACGGCATTAAAAAGGAATGCTTCTACGTCATGTGACGTCAGAAATGACGCCATTAAACATATTGACGTCATGAATTTATTCCTCCGCTCAATATAGTCCAGCATATTTACCATCATTCCTCTTTCTATAACCATGTTAGAATTTAAATAGATATCAATTTTTCGTGCGTTGTAGTATAATAATGCACGTTTTTTCGTTCAAATGCTTTGTAATTAATCACTCAGGCCTAACGGCCTTCGTGATTATATAACTGCGCATTTGAACTTGAACGTGCATTATTGTACAGCAATGCATTCAAAACTGAGATCTATTTCCTAAACAATCCACAGTCAAAGACCTGACATAGTTTTATAAATAGGACACAGAGCCAATATTCAATCTGGATCATTTTTAATGATTGAATTCATTCTGTTTTTAACGCAAAAGACCGGTTGCTTATTTTCCAACTCTGCAGAAACTATATAAAGCAGTGGACGCTTATTTTGGATATGCACTTAATTACTTGGTTCAACAAAACCGGCACAAGTGGCAACATGAATATTGTGATAAGGATGATTTCTCATCAAAAACAGTATACCTCGCACGAAGGGCAAACAAATTCTTCTTCTTCGTCATCTTCTGTTTTCCCGAGACATGTGGGATGGTACCACTTATCGCACACGTCACAGCACCAGTACTTTCTAAAATTTAATACAATATTTGAATAAAAATAACAATGATTTAATTTGATATCCTTAGTAGGCCATATTGTAAATATGATTTTTTATTATAAGGTTTCTGTATTCCTGGAAATAAATAGAACTACCATAAGAAGAACCTTTAACTGCTTTAATGATGTTATAAATGACATCATGTGATAGGCAAATGATACGTGCACAGAATAATGCACGTTTTGCTACATTGGGTATTTTCGGAAATAGCCGAGTGTTAAAATTTAACCTTTTACCTTGTATCTTCGGGCTTATTGCATACACAATATAATTTCCCAGTTCTTTTCGTTGGTAATGTACTAGTATATAGAAAGGATGAGCTCTTTCTCTGCAAAATATAACACTTTTTATTTATTTTCTTATATATAGTGGCAGTTCTGCATTCTTGATATTAACTTTGTCAGTCTGCAATAAACTTGAAACAGACGTTTGTCCAAACGAAAATGTTGGTTTCTAGAATATATTTCCGTCATGAATTTAGCAAAATCTTATAATTGTATTGCACATTCCCTTTCAGAAAATAATTGCACTTTTGGGAAATAATCATAGTTGCTGCCAAATATAGGGTCACAAAGTAGGCAAATTTTGTTATTTAATTTGCTACCAACTGTAACATAGACCAAATGTCGTCACATAGCAATTATTTTTCACAAGATACATGAATAAATTTAAATTATTGCTCTGAAGTGTATTTTATTGCATTCTTTAATTTTATAGAGCACTTATCACAATTTGGATTGACAAGTTTTACAATGGTAGAGCATTGAAGTGCATTTTTTATCAAGATGTTTTTCGAACCAATTAGGAGTCAGTGGAAGAACAAGCAAGAACTGTTTAAGCAAATTTTCAAAGAAAAGAACTTATTTTCAGGAAATTACACTTGTTTGTTAATGCTTTAAAAATTCTGGTGCTGAGATTCTTTTATCAATATTCATAAATATTGGAATTAAACAAAAGTCACTGAAATATTTACCTTTGGGCAGGGTTCTTCTCTCAGATTGTATGGCTTTTTCTGTAAAAATTTTTTTTCTTTTTTTTAAGTTTATACACTTACAAAGACTATTTCATGATAATATATTCTTCCTGTTATGATACATATTAGATCTTCAATGCATGAACCCATTCTAAAATATCAGTCACTCATAAATGCATGCTGGCTCTACAACATAACCAATTTAACTACAAGTAGCACCTATCAAGTGGACAAAAATATCCAAAATTAGCGAAAATGGCTGTGCAAAATTTTGGAAAACGTTTACACCTGTTTGAGCCTCTTTATTTTGCTAAAAATGGCCATAACTTGGTCAGCCTTTGTTCCTTTGTAATCAAATCGCTTTTTTTAAGAGTTGTAAGATCTAACAAATTTTGCATGCCCAAGACCACGCCGACCTCTATCCTTAATATCCCCGTAATTAGTCAAATTATAAATTTTCCGAACGGCAAGGTTGATTGAAAGAAGTCGTTAGTTGATAATACTAGTAAATATTTGATGACAACATGAAAAATACCTGTATTTCTCCCATATGATCCTCATTGTCGGATACACTGACCTCATCTGCTCTTGGTCCTGGAACATTTATAAGCATATAAAAGTAAGAGGTACTAGAAAAGTCAAACAAGAGCGGTCCATAAAACCGTCCGCTCGACTTTTCTCAGTGCTTGATAGAAAGATCAAGTGCTTCACAGAGAATACGTGCTGTCACTATTGTAACGTACTTTTGTCGCGGTGTCAGAATAGCTGTTTCAAAAATATGTCACACGATCTACTTCATACTTTATATATGCTAAGATAGATAGAATAACTTAGCATCAATATACAGCAACTGGTTTTAATTATAATACGACAACGCTTTATCTTTGTTTAATACTTCTTACATAATAATACTGCATATATATAACAGTGCAATTCTTTTTGCTCACAAAAATCCAAGTATTATTTCTCAAAAACTTGGACAAACACTAGAGTCTTGTTCTTCTTGGCTTGTAGATAACAAATTGTCACTTTATCTAGGAAAGACTGAATGTCTTATTTTTGGTTCCAAACGTAAACTAAAACAAGTTAAAGAGTTCAAAATTGTTTGTAATGGACATACTATTGAATCCACAAAATCTGTTAAATATCTAGGTTTAAATATTGATGATTCTTTGTCAGGTGAATCTATTGTTAATTGTATTCTTACAAAGGTGAATTCACGTCTTAAGTTTTTGTATAGGCAAACAAATGTTTTAGATTTTAGGACTAGAAAATATTTATGCTCAGCACTAATACAATGTCACCTTGATTATGCATGTTCTTCTTGGTACCCGAGCCTGAACAAGTGTTTTAAAAATAAGCCTTAAATTTGTCAAAATAAAATTGTTAGATTTATACACGGTATGGGACCTAGAGATAGTGTCAATAATGTTATTCTTGCTAATATGTCTTTACTAAATGTAGAAAACAGAAATAAGCAATTACGTCTTAATCATGTTTTTAAAATTGTTAATAACCAGTGCCCTTCATATATGATAGAAAATTTTATACCTGTTCGAGACATTCATTCTTATTCAACTCGGTCGAATCAGTACAATTTTAGGGTCCTAAGAAGTTATGGGAAAGATAATGTAACTTTTTTTCAAAAAGCAATTAATGATTGGAATTCTTTGCCAACATACATCAAAAAAATTAATAAGATAGCAAATTTCAAAAGCTCTGTGAAGGCCCATTTACTAGAACAGTTAGGTTAGTAAATCATAATTAAATCCACTAGTATGACTAGATATTGATCTCATTTTTATTGTTATCTTTTTAGCAAAATAATGGAAATACTAGTTTGATATTTTACGTAAATGACATCTTCCAGTTTCCAAAGTTTTGTATTTTTCAATGTTTTTGTGTTTTATATTGTATATCATAGTAAGTATATATCCAAGGACCCCATTGGAAATAAGCCTTCGGGCTTTCATGGGCAATCCGAGGTTATTACACACTACTCTATACATGTTTCCACTAACGTCCTTACATTTTATTAAACTAGTAAATTGATATCTAGTCAAAGGAAAGAAAGAGTTTTAGATTTTGTTTTTAGTTATAATATTTTATTATTTAATGAGCCATCTCTGATATTTATGTCTGACAAACTTCTGAAATATTTTATTACAATTGTGTCATCAGTTTTATATAAAATGCTAAAGTGTTTGTTTTATGTATACATGTATGTGTGTTTTAACCTGAATAAATATCTATCTATCTATCAACAACATTTAATACCTTATCATCAAAATACTTGCAGATTAGGTTTCAGCACTATTTCATAAGGTGCAATGTTAATTGATTTCAGGATTTCCTAAAATATAAGTCGACAACGCTTTTATCAAGTTTTGTTTCTTTGGTTTAATATTCCTTTTATTTAGGCGTAAAAATTATAACATGAAGTTCTCCAGCTCTTATTCGGGGAAAGTTGCTTATTAAAAGGTTAAATTCATATTCCACTGTGATTTAGGAGTCCTTCCTAAATACAAACTTTTGATGCCGTTTAGGATTTCATGAAAGGATTCCTGATAATCAGATTGCACCTAGGATTTGTCTATATTAGTCAATATGTTTTGTATTATACAAGCACTGAGGATGCAACGCTTTACCAATGTACATTTTAGTCATTTACCAATACTTTGTGTGAATATAAAACATATCCATGTGTACAATAATATTAGTGTCAGTCAAAAATATCATAATTACTTGAATTTACACAAAGATTATAACTTGAACTTACCAGAAATATATAACAAGTACACTGCCAGACACAGTCGAGCCACTTTGATATCTTTCTTACTCCAGAAGAAATTTAGTGCCCGATTTGCGAAGTAATTTATGGCAAACTGTAAGTATAAATTTGTTCTATCAGGTTTTAACTTAAAAAAGGTTAAAAATGGTCTGTAAAACAAACAACATTAACATTTCATCAATATCATTTTGAAGGCTTACTGAATACATCTTCATTTATAAATATATATACACAGTATTTTATTAACAGTATTTGCTCATACCTGGTATGCTTGTACAGTTTGTGGGGCACCAATGCCGTGCCTTCTCATAATTATATTTTTTGATACATTTTAAATTATTTCCAGATGTAAATAATTACGTTTTCCAAGGACATGATGGAGGCTTTGTGCTCTTTCCATATATGTTTCATAATTGTAACATTTACAAATGCATGTAGCGGGCATAAAATATTTCTTTACATATTTACCCATTTAAATAGACACTGCATAACAGTGCCTACAGCGGGACTGCTTATAATAAACAGATATGATAAACAATATATATATACTTTCAAAATGTATACTCCACAAAAGCTACCATCACGTTGTTTTGCATGAATGGTATCTGCTAATGTCCATTCTCCTGGAAGAACCGATTCCAGTCCAGCTTCAAATCTTTGTTTCAAGAAGTTACTGAAACAAACAAAGTATATTACTATGCCTCACTTTCATTTACAATGCATAACGGCCATAGACAATCGGTGAACAAATTGTAATGTCCAAAGCGCAGTTGTGCATCTTTCAGTAATGCTCACTGTGAATGGAGACAACAATCTATCATTATGAAACGCCAAAGTTGATTAGTTGTTGAAGTGGCATTGATGAAATGACGTATTGTACATCAACACACCTCAATTTAAAGAACTTGACCTATGCAGACGCCCACATAGATGTCAGTTGACAAGAATGAGTTTACCTTTGCCTTAATATGAAAGTAACTACATTGTATATAATTAGGAAATTTTACCGTTTCAAATTTGTAGGAGTAATTTGACAATGAATACATTTTATGATATAACCAAACATGTACTTATGTTTTGAGCAAAGGTTTAATCATGGTCGTCCAAAAATGAGGAGCAACCTAATAAGTAAACATTGAATGCAAACAAAACCAAAATATGACAAAAACTGCTTGAAACTAGAGGCTGTTTTCTAGAAAACATATTTCTCCACCACAAGCATTTTTTTATTGAAGGCACTAAAGCCCATAGTGATCAAGGACATAGAACCTTAGTGGAAAGTGTGACATATCACTTTAATATTTTTAAAAAAAGATGGAAAATGACATCAAATAAAGAAGGGAAGTAAAAGTTGTTGAACATCTGTGTGGTGGAGACATAAGTTAAAGCAAACAAAAATGGTCATAAAAGTGTAATATCAACTCAATGATAAATGTAACTTTTTAACATTTCACTAACAACCATTTAAGGATTATATCTTGTTCTTGAATTTGTAGTGTTCCAAGAGGATTCATGCATAATATTTGTCTCTTCTTTGGGCATATAATCTGAACACACATTGCATGTTTACAAAACTTATCAAAATATACTACATTTGTAAGAATAATGAGTGCTGCTTTTTGGTATACCATAACAGAACAGAACAAATCTTTTATTTCATCCAGTCACATACAGTACAGTATGTTGATATTTCGTAATACAATTCAATCATACTGCAATTGTTCTCGGTCAATATTTCGTTGTTAGCGTGAAATAACACAACCCTCAGCAAATTATAATACATTATACAAAATATAAGTAAATTTCAAAATTTAAAACCATACTTGCAATTACTTTATATAATTAATGTGCAAACAAAAATTAAATGATATCTCACTTTTAACACTGTTATTTATTCTTTGTTGTAAAATCTAATCAAGCATGTATATATCGGACGGAGAGCAGAAACCATAAGTCCCCTCTGGTAAAACCAGCAGGGGAATCAGCTGTACATTACGGAATACCGTTAGGGCCATCGTGGTTATACTTTCTGGTTCAGAGGGCAACAGTGTGATGACGACAGTACGACAGTGTGATGACGACAATGTGATAGTGCGATGATGACAATACGATAGCACTGTTGATTTGTCGTCATCCCATATTCAAAACCTTCAGCTTATTCGTCAGCAGTTTAGGACCTCCCTTCGGCAATAGTCGACAATGTGATAGCGCTACGACGACATTGTGACAATGTGATGGCGACAGTGCGATAATGCAATGACGACAATACGACAATCCGATGGCGATAATGCGATGACGACAGTATGACAATGTGACAGTGCGATGACAACAATGCGATGGCGACAGTGCGATAACACTGTCGCCATGTCGTCATTGTACTATCGTGTTATCGCATTCTCGACATCGCACTGTCGTACTGTCGTCATCGCACTGTCGCATTATCGCCCTCTGTATTTTAACCTATAACCACGATGGCCCTAACCGCATTCCGTAGAATATTCACTAGTAATATTTCTATGAATATGTTTACTTACAATCAGACACCAATGACACCCTGCCTGGTTATATGCACCAATTAAACAATCAAACGTGAGCAAAGAAGACTGAAATCGTAAATGAACAATATGGTTGTATTTATAGCCAGACTGCATCGATTAAAAAATACCGATATTGTCCAATTTATATAGGATATTCAGAGTTTAGTTTCACACCGACTCCTGCTCAATAAATAATCTTTATTAAATATGTTGATGAAATAAGCTTTTACATATTCATGTTAGTTAAGGTGTTTATTCAACACCATGTCACTGCATGTATACTTGTTATAAGTTAAAGTGTAATCTGTATATCAAATATAATGTCACTTTAGTCTGCATGTATACATATACAACAAATACTTTGTTATTCTATTTGTACATTGACTACATTCTATAAATTTATCGATGTTGATATAAATATTTATTGGATAAACCACGGTCAATTATTGTCTGACAAAGTTTTATAGACCGGACACACAAACTACATGAAACTAAAATTAAAGCATTCAACATAGTCATCTTTCTCATTTATATTTCTGAGCCAGAAATTATTGTTTATGACTTACCGTTCGTCTAAGACAATGATGTATTTGCTGTTGGCCCTCGAATATAGCAGTCATGGAAATGCAGTCAATATGGCTGACACTCGGGTATCTAGAGGTAATTTCATGGAGGTACGAATCAATCACCTAGAAAAGCATAATTATGTCGTATTTTATGAATAGTAATCATAATTTGCAATTAACATCTCTTTGTCACAGGGTGAGAAAAATGTGCAGCCTGACCGGGACTCGAACTCGAGACCCTCGGAATACCGTACCGCGGCTCTACCGACTGAGCTAACCGGCCGCTTACACATCTTCTCCCCTAAATAGTGCACAGTTCTGAACCGTGACATCTTTGAACACTATATAACGTGTATGAACTGTGCAAGAACAAAATTATATGAGGGCATTTATAGATAAATAGATTGATAGATAAATTAAATAATTTATTAAGAGAGAGAGGAGAGAGAGGAGGGAGAGAGGGAGAGAGAGAGAGAGAGATATTTTTACCTCGTCTGATAAGAGTCCATATATACATCTTATTGAGTTTGTTGTAATGACAAAAGGTCATATGCTACGTTGTGGGATTTCCATAGAGTCAACATCCCAAATACGTTTCACCTCTACAAATATAAATAAATTTTAAAAAAAGTTTTTAAAAAATTAATGATATTAAACATGTTAGTATTTAGGCCTAAAAAGGTCAGTCTGGTCATCAAGTAAGACTATATAACTTGCAGCTTGCAGGCCTTTGATTTTCTTGGGAAATAGATGGTGGTTCTAGTGAAATAACAGATTATAAAAGGTGAAATTCCTCCTTTAGTGTGCTATCTAAACACACTTTGCTTTTGTGAAATAATATTCAATTATTTCCCTTAAAAATAATGAGATATTTTCTCCACATATCACACACAAAAATCAAAATTACAAATAATGTACTAGAATAATTCATTTTCTTCAATGGATTGACACTATAATTACCATTCATTAGATCTGGGTGATCATCATATATAAAGACTTCAGGCAAATTTGGTACACTTTCAGCATGATGCATATTGTCCACTTGTAACATGTCTTTTAGATCACCACAACAAACCTCTGAAATTCAAACATAAGTCATGTGATAGACAGATTATAAAAGGAAAAATTCCTTCTTAAATGAGCTGTCTAAACACACTTTGCTTTTGTGAAATAATGTTAAATGACATCCCTTAATAATAATTAGATATTTCTCTCTAACACTTATGTAACAAATATATTTCACACAAAAAATCCAAATTACATATGAGGTAAAAGAATTCATTTTCTTCAATGGATTGACACTATAATTACCATTATTTAGATCTGGATGATCATCATATATAAAGTCATCAGGCAAATTTGGTACACTTTCAGTATGATGTAACATGTCTTTTAGATCATCTCAGCAAACCTCTGAAATTCAATCATAAGGCCTGTGATACACAAAAATAATTCCATGTATTTTCTCAAATACCTGAATTGTGAGTGTCATAAATGTGAAATCTTTTTTTGTGTTGTAAATTGATGATTCATTATGATGTTCTTGTTGATGAAACTCTAATAAGATATCTTATCTAATATACTTTATTGAATACTTACTCCACTTACTGATTTTAACTTATTTGGTAATGATGTACATTTTGAAGTACGTGTATTAACAGTCAATTTAGTGACAGATACGTTGAATATTGCGTTCCTAAATACGGCAATGCAATGCAAAAAATTCATCCGAGAAACTCAAAAATATATTTCCCTTCATCAAACGAAATTAAAAAATATGTCTCAATTTGCTATGTACTGAAAATTAACCATCTTCTAACTGGTAAGACCATACTTTTTGCTCTATTACATCATAGAGTTCGTGCGTGCGTGTGTTGGTGTGGGTGTGTGTGTGTGTGGCATCAAGCCAAAATTCGTTATTAATTCAACATTGCATCAGTGCGATCAATAATAATTGCTATATAGGTTATCGTATTCACTTTCATATTTATTTGGCTTTTAGTTACAACAAATCAAATTTCAGTGAATGCTTTCCATTTTATGTATGTAGCTCAGCTTTATATCAGACAGCCAGCTGATTCATTCAAGTAATTGTTACAGCTTCATAGTTTTACCGGTAGTAGAAAAGACTAGAAATACACCACCTTTGTTGAGTGATTTCATTTTCCGGTGTTGTTTCCTTTCCTTTCTCTTAGCAGATCGTTTTGGCAGAGGCAATAACGGCAGACTTTCATGGTCTGTATTCCTGCGTACTATGTCCATCACTTGTTCTTTTAACAACCCCAAGCTTGATTTGTCATAAATATTGAAAGTCAAGTCTGACAACAGTTTTATAGCTTGCATTGCATGTATTTGTAATGTTTTCACGGACACTAAAATATAACAACATTCAAATTAGATAAACATGTAGTTGGTTGAGCGATAAATCAATAATCTAAATTTAGATCGGTTGGGTGAAGAAATGATTATGAAATTCACAGAATAACTATTTCTTCTCTTTGTTAACTACAATGCATCCTTGAACAAAACAATACATAAACATTTCATATATTAAATGACGTTTGGCGTTCATTTTGATATGCACCTGCATAACATGGTTATGAACAAGATTCCTTTTGAAGGTAAAAATAATTAAGATCTGTATTAGTTGAAACAATGGCAAACACATATTTACATCGACAACATGTTTATATTACTGGCGTCAATTCTCCACATGATCATTTTTGTTGTGTTTTACCCTAATGTGTCAGGAGACAAGTAATCAGGGATATTTTTCCCGCTGAAAGAATTTTCTATTCCCCTGAAACAAGAAAGTACTGTATCCTGTATTTCTTGCTAAATGATAATGATTCTTGAAATTACCATTTTCTATTTCATCCACTTCATCGTCACATATGTCACGATGTTCATCCAAATCAGTGGTTTCCGCCTGACATGGCCTGTCCTCATTTGAAATATCTTCTAAAATATCAGATAATTTTTATTTGAAGCGAGATAAAGGTTGAGAAGAAGAATGACTGATTGTTAGTCTAATATGATCTGAGTTTTTCTGCAACACAGAGAGTACAAAGCTAATTATAGTTTAACATGCGATAAAATATATTAAAATGTTTAAAAAATTTGCGCTGAAAAATCGTGCAGTCGGTGCATGCTATTATTTTTACTTTAACATACCAGTTCAATCAATAAAAACAAAAGATTTTCTCAAGCTTTCGACGTTAAAGTCTTCTTCAGAATGACGTAACGTCCGTTTAACTATATAGTACGCTAAACGGAATGTGGCGTTAATGCGGAACTAAAACTTTCTCAAACAAATACAGAATCTTTCATGAACATTAATACAGCAATATACAATAAATTATAAATAGAATATGGATCTGTGCATACTAAAATTCTCATAAGTAATGATAATGAAAAAAACCTTCATATGAGAAAAACATACTACACATGTATATGTATATTGGCCCAATTATATGCTTAAAGATGACAAAGTTATACATTGTACAAAACTTTTGCATTCATACCATTAGGAGATAAAGTTTTCTTTTCTCATATCAAAGTTTTGTATTAGTTTTACTAAGCTTACTTCCGCAGCCAAATGTAGTGCCAATATGATTTGTCGACTCAATTGTTCTTTTTAATATTATTTGAACATTATTAGACTCGAAATAATAAACATGGTTCTATTCTTCGTCTATGAATAAAACATGAAAGTTTGTTTTCACAGATAAATTACATCACTCGTGCTATGCATCCGTGATGTAATTCATGCACACAAAACTTGTGCCCATATTTTATTCCGTGTCTCCAGCATAGGAACATGTTTATTATTTCTTAATTACTATATCTCTTCATGTTCTTTATTAAATATCGTCCATACATTCCATGTTGATGATCTTAACTTAAAATCACGTTTACATGTATAAAATAAGATAACTTAATTATATTACATGCATTGTCAAGGGTCATTATGGTTTGTGAAAAACTACAGATGTCCAACAAATTCCCTTTACCATTAATTACGGAAAGTGTATGTAATCAAGCCATAATTTCTGTGACCTATTAAAACTTACCTATTACACGAGTTTGACTCCCTTTTATTATGTTGATCTTTTTAATGAATTTCTAATTAGCATAAGCTGATTTACATATCTTATCCAGGAAACCCTGTCTGGCACCCAATTGCCAGATAAGTCGTGCATGCATGTGCTTTCAAGTGCTTGTGAAAGATTGAATGGAGTGAACGATAATTACCATCAACAGTGCAGTACACAGACTGCAAATATACGTCACTCAGTTGAGACCACTGTATCATCCCAGTTTGGTCATTAGTTAAAGCTGCGAGCAAGTGCTCACATGGCATCTGAAATTTATACCATGTGTCACAGTCGCAGCTAGGCATTTCTTGGCATGATCCCAGAGAAACTGTATAGCTCTTTGCGTCTGACACAATAATGAACCTTCCGTTGTTTTCCTTTATGTTGTTTCTGGAAAATAAATCCTTTTATCAAACTTGGCTTGGCAATGCCACATTTTCAATGTGTCACATACAATTTATTTTTCTTTTCCTGTATAATAAATTGGAAAAGTTTTCAGCTATAACATGTATATTGATGATGAAAATAAGTAATCAAGAGTTGGTTGACGTACTATACACATATATATCCCCTCTGTCTCAAAATAAATCTTAGTATATTTTATATACACACAGAATAAAGGAGAATTAGTATTCAAGCTATCCAAATAAACAACATAAGAATTTTATAAAAAACACTCCAAATTTGAATCGTCCTTGCTTAACTATCCTGCCAAAAAATTTCTCATACGAAAGTGTGTCAGTGGCATACTGCACTGTGATTTTTGTTAAACAACAAGAAACTGTAAGGAGATAGATCTTATTGTGCAAATGTGCTTTGCATAAAAGTAACTGCGCCTTGCCTAATTTTTGAGTTATTGTCATATGTTCAACTTTTCCGGGGAGATAACTCTGAAACTACAACACATAACAACCATAAGTAGTTTCTCTGTGTCCAAAACCTGTTTGCGAAGCATCACCTGGTTCAGCCTCCTAATTTGTATTTTGATTATGTACCCCATGTCCATATGCAACCTTCGTAAAAACTCA